ACGTTCATATGAAATGGATCCGTCGATTCACGAACTACAGGCCTCATTCTGATCCGAAAAAACGAACGTGAGCTTATTCACTGACTTCCTGTTCCGCTAATTTCATAATTTTTCATACTTCACAGGTTATACAGGTGGATTCCAGAACTGCGTACTAAACGTGTTTAGGACTTCACATCCTTACTAATAATAGTTCGAACGTTGATTTCGACAATGTTTTCCGTGTGCTCTACAACAGAGTGAGAGCAGGGTCAGTGGCTTGTGCGGAAATTAGTTTAAAACGATAGCGGACTTGCGCGGCATCTGCCGGACTCCCTCCTCCTCCTCCCCCACCTGCGCCCAGTGTCAAGACATAGTCAAGGAGACCGGAATTGGGTGAGGGCGTAGTGGCTGGCGCGGCCGAAGCCGCTCATAGGTGTGCCACCACACCCGACTTGGATCCCACAGAGTGGGAATGTCATAGGGGCCACACTAAGGAGCCATTGCAACCTGGCTCTCAGTCGACCAGTTCGTCACTCCAAACAAGCACACACTGGGCTGACTGGGAGGTCCGCGTTATTCCGTCAGTTTTCAACTTTCCAAGCTACGGTTTTTAGTGCACCGCAATAGCTTCAAACGCGTCAGATTGTTTATAGTGAGAAAAATGTGCTGAGACGTCGACCGCGCTCTTCCCACTCCCAAGCCCCAGACTATTGTTCTATCCGGTCAGGTGTGTGATGCCGGAAGTGGGCTCAGCGACTGACAGAGCCAGAAAGCCCGTCTGAGTGCACCACATGGACGACTTGACCCACCATACGCTCACACCAGGATTACACAAGGGGGAAGGAAGGCTTGGGTCTCACATTCAACAGAGGAGCTACACAAATCGAGCCATCGGCACCGCAGATCGTCCTGTCGACCTGCCGCCGGAATAGAAGATTGTCCAGCAGCTGTCAGCGCCGCGATTGGAGGAGCATCCATGTCGTCTTTTTGCACATCGGAAGGCTGAGAGTGTTGTTCAGCAGAAGGCGATGTGCCGCGCAGGTTCGCGGAAGAAGGGGGTCGTTTTCGTTACAACCGCCACTTCCGTGATGGCCGAGCACTCCCTCCAAGGCAGCGTGGTCTGTCCCGACGCGGACAATCAACTTATCCGCCTTCGGCACGGACGCCAAGAGGGTACGCAGGTCTTCGTAGAATTTGTTCTTGGCCTCGTCAGAGCTGGTCATTGGAGGAAGCCGTGGGCGCCAATTATGGTGGCGAATTTGGATCCTCGAAGAGGCAAACGCAGGATCATCAGTTGATCGTTGATGCGCTGCAGAAGCCAGGCCAGTCGTCCCACGAAGTCGTTCCGAATGGCAAATGCGATGCCTGTGTCGCATCGCTCTGCCTTTGGGCGTCGGCACCCACCTCCTGTTGACCTTGTTCGAAAAAGCAGGTTTCACTGAGAGCAGTGACGTCCATTTTGAGGCGCCCCAGTTCTCTAGCGACTAGTGTCGTCTTGTGTTCCGATCGGTTGCTCCTCGAGTTGTCTAAAAGGGAACGAGTATCCCAGGCTTCCAGAGTGAGCGGACTCACTTAAGCAGCCCGTAGGGCACAGAAAGGGATGGATATGGGATTGTTGTTGTTTCTTTGAGTGTTTCGACCACGCGTTCTGCATCTACGAGCCACGGTCAGCATGCAGAGGACGTGATCCCAGCACTTGTCTAGGGCACATGCCGAACTCCACTATGTGTCACGACTTTTGGAGAACGACCCGAGTTAGCCTGGGCTGCCTACTGGATTGTATGTCGCTCTCTCCGTAAGACCTTTGAAAGTAGGGGAGAGGGGGAGGGGGTATGGGAAGGGGAGCAAAATTGCCGGATGTGGGGACACACAGCACCGGAAGCCGTTGCTTGGTTTAGTCCGTCGGTCGAGGCGCTTACCCGGGTTTGGCGGTCAGGTAGAGCCTAGCTTAGAGGAGCCACATGTGAGAGTTGGGTGCTAGTTACTGGACGTTAGACGCAGTTACCACCTGCACTAAACAAATGGTGCGACCTACTAGGACTCTCACGTGGAACCTACAGCTGTACACTCCTACACCCTACATCCTTACTAATACTCAGACACGGGCCCCTGTCTGGGTTGTTGACAATTTGCGAGGCACCTTTGTTCATCATTGCTATTTTCTTGCGTTTTTTCCCGACCGCCAACGTTTCCAACTGTCAGTAATGAACTGAGTGTCAAATATACGAAGTGACATCAGTCAGCCAGGAGAAATCCCTTTGGGTCGCTCACTCTCTTAGGTTAATAAGTTGCAGGTCATACAGACCAAACTGGGATGCATGCGCGTGTAGGCCTGTCCGCCAGCTTCCTTGCGGCGATATATGTTCTGGCTGGTTAAGTTCGCCCTGGCTGGTATACCGTTTTGGTCGGTTATAGTTTAGACCCCGATAGCCTTTCGAGGGGATTTTCCCTCTGAGCTTCGCCGCCTTGGCTGCCGACTAAAAAAACGGGCGTTTGTAGTAAAGTCACCTGTTTGGAGTTTAATGGTCACGCCAGCTTTCAAGTTCGATAGTGAAATGCTAACCGAGCAACGGTTAACAGATGTCTGTCCTCAGTCGCAAAGCATATGATGTACGGATCCGCTAGCCTGTGATCTCAAGAACCCTTTAAGCTTGTTTTTTTTTTGTCGTGTAGTCAGAAGCATGGACTTTTAATCCAATCAGTGCCCACTAATTAACTTCTTTTGCGTTGTGCTCATTACCCTTTACCTTGTTCCCACATAACAGGAGGTCCTGTTTTACCATCTGACCAACTTATTTCGACGAGTTCACTGGCCCCATGCCCTTTCTCACCTAGGAAAATTTCTCTGTACTATGGGAGCGGTGACTTCTGCCAGGAAGTTCAAACTCGCCGATCTGTGGTGCTGACGCTCCAGTAAGTCCAGCGAATGTCTCTCCGAGTAAAATTTGCGTTGCTTCTTCCACCTACCTCTTCCCTCATCGTTTTGTTTTTTTTTTATTATCGCTCGGTTTGCAGATTTCATGTTTTTAATCACGATTTTTGCACAAACTTTCTTTAACTGTCGTTATCTATAAGTCACCCTGCTGGTTTCGATCCTGCTCTTGCCCCTGTCGCTGTTTTTTCCATAACTTACCTGCAATTTCCGTCTGGTCTAGATGCCAGCCAGCAGCCAAGTCGACCGTGCAGTTGTCCTTTTCGGAACCCAACACGTGCCACTACTCGATCACCGTGAGTACTTTTAAATTTAAGGAATGAGATTATCGGTAGGTCGTTTAAATTTTGTACGCCACGAAAATATGCTGCTTTGAGAAGTTAGCTTGGATGTCATCTTATACACTCTCCGCCTCGCAGGATTATACTTTCTCATTTCCACGTTCGATTATGCTAAATGTCATGATACAGCTTGCGCGTTGTGGCGGTTCTGCACCCGTTTGGATATTGATGTATTGAGTTCACACCAGTACCTTGCATTCCACCCGAAAACCGAGTGCGTAACACGCGCAGGTGAACTGTCTAGATCTGTCGGCCACTTGCGTACAGTAGACTAGTGCCTCGGAGAGGGAATAGAGAGAGTGTGACACGGACTCTGAGACTGCGTCTCCAAAGCACTCAGCGCATACTCCTTACTGCAAACAGTCTGACCCATTTCCAAACTATCACGGTGCGCCAAAAGCCACGACTTGGAAGGCTGCCAACTGATGGGATAACTCACTTCTCACATCTATATATTCTTATAGCAGGGCGAACTCCCGACATTGGTACTAGCATCTTTAAACTTATTACCACCCTTCTGAGCATCAGAAAGTCCATCACTAATGGAATGTTTTCTCCAAATATAGCAGTTGATGCTTAACGCAATCCTCTCTTTATATCTCCGCAGGGCTAGGTTGAGTTCCTGAAGGATTAAGTGGTCTTAGTCTTTTCCTCGTTTAAATAGAGATCTGCTTTGGTTTTGTTGTTGAGTAAATGTGTGCCCGACATCTGTGCTTGTCTTTCACATATCAGTTTATCGGTACCTGTTCATTTTGTCAATTTCGATTTTGGAATTTTAATGGAAAATGCCTGATGAAGAGGGAAGAACCACGAAGACAAGGGAGACTCTGATAGCCATTTTCGACTTATTGACCGTCAACAAGTTATGCTTAATCGCAAGTCTCGGCAATCTGGGACTCAAATCTACGTTCTTTTGTCACTGGGGCATTAATCCAGGCGTTGCACCATTAAACCATGGCCGGTAGTCTCATCGTTACAGTCGGAGATATTAGTTCACCCATCTGACTACCGTCTTGCGACCTCAGTTAAGAGCCCTGACAGACAGTCATATAGTGACACGTAACGATGCAAGCAGAAGTAGCCTTCGACTTAATTCATGAGGGCCCCGGATTAACCTGGCCGGAGCCTGGAGTGTGGCTGGCTGACTGGTGATAGCTGGTAAGGCAGAAATGTCCGCGCGAGTTTCTATTCGTCGGTATGTCTTTCGCATCACCACTTTCTCCTGTGAGTACGCGCTGAGTGCTTTGGAGACGCAGTCCCAGAGTCCGTGTCACTCTCTCTTCCCTCTTCGAGGCACCAGTCCACTGTACGAGCCGGTCAGTCATTTGATGTGGAGTTTGGGCGCAAGTGGTCGACAGATCTAGACAGCTCACCTGCGCGTGTCACACAGGAACAGGTCCTTCAAACAGCACACCCGGGTTTCACACAAAGGGAGTAGAATTCAAGGTACTGGCGTTAATTCGAACAATTCATCGGTATTCAGACGGACGCAGAACCGCCACAACGTGCAAGCTGTATCATAACATATGACGTAGGCTGTATATGCGGAAGCTCCAAATTCACGATCATGTTCCGCGGTGCAGCGGAATCAGCGAACACCACGCTGATATAAAGTTTAAATTTACACTTTTTAAGTAATTTAACTCAACTTTTTTCATTGGCCTTCCCTAGACTACAACAAAACTGCCCATAAAAATTTCCATGCTGAGAAAAGCTTTCGCATACACAGCATGCCTATTTTTTAGTATTGTGCGCTACAGTTAGACCAGCGAATTTCTTATTGGCGGCGTGCGATTTCGTTCTTTTTTGCGGCATCCTTAATATGTATTACTTCTGTTAATCTAGCCACAGTTGTGCAATAAGCGAACATTGTAAACCCCTTTTGGAATTTCCTTCAGATTTGTTGACTGGGTGTTTTTTTGCCTTCCGTCCACAGTTGGAGAGTGCCTTGTTTTGCGACATTGTGAAACGATCAGACGAGAATGGCATCCTTCCCCTACCGGTTTAGTCGCCAATGTTCCCACACCGTTTTGAATGGCTTTCCTTCTCCAACGTTAGGTGCATTTCGTCGCCTCTTGGATATAGCCCCCTCCACCAGCAGATATATACACTCTGGTTGCCTTGTGCCTTACAGTTGCCAATTCTTTCACCTTTCCCATCAAAGTAGTCCTGTATTGTAACCTTCTCTCCTTGATTGTCTTGACATTTCCGTCGAATGTCCTGCTGTACTGCGTCATTTTATTGTTCTCCTCTCTCTTTTTCTTTCTTGCTGAATGCATCTGAAGTTCCCTGGTTCGTCAATTCGTTTAAGTTCCCCCCAAAAATTGAAAATACTGACAACGTGAAAAAGCTCCCTGCACAACACCGTATAGTACAATACGGGCGAAAAGACGAGTTCCTAAAAGCAGTCGAGAAAGAGGCGATTCGACCGCTAGAACAAGCAATCTGTTCGTCTCACGTCCCGGATTATCACAGCAGTCGCGTGTTTGTTACAATTGCCTCATGAGACTGACCTTTTTGCTCATATCGCGTCATACTGTGTTGCGTAAAGATCTTTTTGTAGGATACATGGGTTCTAGGGCTTGGCGTTGTCATCATATCCCATTTTTGGCTCAACTAGCCGATAGCTTACCAGCTCACTCAGCATTATTATTTGTTTGGATAACCTTGAAATATATTAGGCGACTAAGACGTTTGCCGGGGAGGGGGATGGCGTTGGTGACCTAACCATGACTCTCGCCACTTTCAGCGGCTCCTCATGACGTTTTTGGTGCTCTCGTCTTATTCGCACGGCTCTAGACCGCGCGCTCACATCACCGCTGTTTGGCTGCGCGGGCTTCAGTGCATTTGTTGTGTTTGCGCCGCATAGTCAATTTCCATTCTCTCTTCATCAACTTCTTAGCCGTTCTTCGCCTGAGCTGGCAAGAGACGGTAATAAAACACTACCTAAAAAATTTGGGTGGATGCCGCGGAATAGACATGGAATCCGAAGCAGGTTACTTTCGACTTCTTTACGTTCGGCATTGACCTTCTCTTCGAAAGCTGGCCTGCAAACTTTAATTTTATGCGTGTTAGTTCCCCGCTGTCGACGAACGGAAAAATACAACCTAGGCCTTTGTTTGCGCTGTCACCCGTGGATAATTGCCTCCATTATGTTTACTGTCTATTATTCAGTTGCTCAAAAGACAACTGCATTTTAGATGGACTCGGCGTTTGGCTGGAGAGTAGAAGTTCTATCATTATTGTATCGACCGTTAGAAATCAACAAACTCCAGCATCCGCCTGGTCCGGCCCGTGTAAGAGGGCCGCATCGCATCGCAGAAACCTAGTTTACTCGGGTTGTGTGAAGTTGATAAGCTACCTTGACTGAACTTTCGCACGAAACAGATTTGTTTTGCTTCTCTCCCTGACTTCGCAGTCGGATATACCGCTTTTCCGTCGTCTCAAAGAGCCGTTCACAGTTCGAGTTTGATGTGGTTGCGAAATTATCTGTAGCTATAGGGTTGCTGCCAGGGCAATCATCACGCACGTTAGGGATAAGAATGTTTATACGAGTCGTGTGACCAAAAAGGACGCCCATGATTAAGACTGTACATCTAACACCATGAGCACAGGGTGAGGTTTGTGGGGTTGCGCAACGAGTAGAGACGAATCGGTAGCTTCAATAGGTTCATAACCATTACGCGTGTCCGATGCTCAAACACGGTCAAACCTGGGTTTCGACGAGGCAGGCTGATGACAGCTAATAAGCAAGAAATGGCCATCCTGGTCTCCCTTGTCTTTGCTCTGCCTCTTTTCATTGGTACTGCGCTTACATTTCTGACTGGCGGCCTTCCCAGTGTGGTATATGCAAAGTTGCCTAACCAGAGTGATCCGGACTGGGACTTGACGTTGAAGTACGGACAGGTAGTAGAGACGTCTTCAGCTACGGTCGTTATGTTCTGTGGCATTTGGAGTGGGTTGGTTGAGTTAACACCACAATGGCCACTGTGTTGTCCATCTACTTTAGTGTGATTCTGGTCGTCATTTGACAGAAGCTGTCCATAGGGGTTGGCCTTTGTTTTGCTGTGTTGTGTACTTTACCTTAACCCCACATTGCTATACCCGTTTCCACGAGAAAAGGCCGAGCCTGTCGATCTTCAATATTTTTTTAAGTCCGAGTGTTGCCGCCGGATTGTCATCGTATCACCGATCTCTCGCACCTAGCCTTTCAGCTGCCGTAATGAAGTCACCACAGAAGAATCGTCAGGGAAGTTGTTCTTAACTATCTTTACGACGTAGCCACTCCATCGTCGTTGGGAGTGTTTTACAAAAGTGTTGGACTCAGGACCCGCGTGTCCCGGATCCCATTCTGCTGCTTCACTTTTGGTTTCTTCTGGCAGCGCCGTAGATGGAGGGTAGTTCAGTTCCCTTGCTGGCTTCGGCGCACGGTCCACGTCTTCGGTCCGTAGAGAAACGTGGTCAGGAAGAGACGCCTAACATGTATTTTCCGTTGGAGATGATACCACAATGATTGCGGACTGGCTGCTTTGAAGTGTCGACTTTCAATTTCTTAGCAACCCGTGACTGTTCTTAAATTGGTACTTGCCAGAAACGGAAATTTGCCCACGGCGGCGAAGTCAGTCCCACTGGCACTTAGCACTGGTTCATTGTATCCCTCAGCTGCCGCCAGTGGACTAATAATCAGTCTTCGCGCACTAATGGTCAGTAATCAGAGGTAAAAAGTTCTCCGCTTCGTTGCATGTCCGAACTCGTTTTGGCATTCTGTATGCAGTTCTCAAATGAGACGTCAAGAACCTTAGCCTTGGATACTTTCGTTTGTAATGACGTATGTAGGATGTACCCTATGGTTTCTAAAGTTATTATTTATGTCAGGTCGCGCGTAGCGGTAGCTATCTCAGACGGACGAGAATACCTTATTCTTCGCCACATCAGTTTTCGCTTTAATTGTCCCCATGCTGATACGTCCACGACCAGCCATCATGCCATCGTATAGTGCGCAGTTTCTAAGACTGATATAAGACCAA